ATATTTTGGTTCTCGTGGACTTGTTTTCATTTTCTTCAGCTTTAGTTTCAATTTGCATATCAGTAATTGATGGTCTGTTCCACAGTCTGCCCCTGGTTTGTTTTCACTGATGATATGGAGCTTTTCCATCTTCTCTTTCCACAGATGTAGTCTATTTGATTTCTATGTGCTCCATCTGGCGAGGTCCATGTGTAAAGTCGTCTGTTATGCTGTCTAAAGAAGGTATTTGAAATAAACAAATAATTTGTTTTGCAGAAATACATCATTCGTTCTCCAGCATCATTTCTATCACCAAGTCCAAATTTTCCAACTACTGGTCCTTCCTCTTTGCTCCCAACCTTTGCCTCATAGCAACCGTATGTATAGGGTTTCCCAGGAGCAGCTGTTAAATTGGAACTGCCAACTTTACAGTTCAAACAATCTTTCAGTCCAGTGTTTAATCTACAGCACCACATCAAAGGAGAGGGGTAGGGAGTGAGATAAGGGAAGAGATGATGAGAGATTGTATGTGCAGCTTCAGAGAACTGAAAAAAACAGCAAATACATTGACTAGGATTTAGAGTACTTCATGCATCTGTCCTCATTCTTGTCCCTTATGATAATTGTTCTTTCATGTCCCAGGAGTTTCTCTAAATCCACTTTCTTAATATCCTTTCTTAGAATAGCCTCAAAGCTTATTCGTAGCAATGATCCAGATCCACAATTATATATTTATCTGTGTATTTATTTACTGAATACCTGCTTCCCTCAGAAAAGTAATCCCCATAGGTCAAAGATTAGACCTTTTTTGTTGTTGTTTCTACCCCCTTATTCTAATAATAAATACTGATTGATATTGTTTCTGAGTGCCATTGAGTCAGTTCTGACTCATAGTGACCCTATCCACAACAGAACAAATCACTGCCAGGTCCTGAGCCATCCTCACATTTGTTGTTATGCTTGAGCCCATTGCTGCTACCACTATGCCAATCCACCTCATTGAGGGTCTTCCTCTTTTCCACTGGCCCTCTACTTTACCTAGTATGATGTCCCTCTTCAGGGTCTGGTCCCTTCTGGTAATATGTCTGAAGTATGAGAGACAAATTCTGGCCATTCTGGCTTCTAAGGAACATTCTAACTTTGCTTCTTTCCACACAGATTAGATTGTTTTTTGGAAGGTCCATGATAGTGTAGTGGTTATGAGTTGGGCTGCTAGCCACAATGTCAGCAGTTCGAAACTACCAGCCATTCCACGGGAGAAAGATGAGGCTTGCTGTTCCTGTAAATATTTACAGTCTCAGAAACCCTATGCAGGGTCGCTATGAGTCAGAACTGACTCCACAGTACACCACACCACACCATGATACTTGTAATATTCTTCTCAATACTATACTCAAAAGAACAAATTCTTTTATGGCTTTCTTTATTCACTGTACAATTTTCATATGCATATGAGGCTATTGGAAATGTAATGGCTTAGGTCAGGGACACTTTAGTACTCAAACTGGTATCTTTACTCTTGAACACTTTAAAGAGGTCTAGCGCAGCAGAGTTGCCTAATGCAATTAAGTCCTTTGATTTCTTGAATGCTGCTTTGATTTGTGTTGAATGTGGATCCAAGCAAAACAAAGTCTTTGACAACTTCAATATGTTATCCATTTATCATGATAGTATATATTTGCTCAGTTGTGAGGATTTTTGTTTTCTTTACACTGAGGTTCAATCCATACTGAATGTTGTAGACTTCACTTCCATTTAGCAAGTTTTCATCATCTGTATTATAACACAGGATGTTAATGAGTCTTCTACCAATCCAAATGCCATGTTATTCTTCATATAATTCAGCTTCTCATATTATTTGATGAGCACATAGACTGAAAAAGTATGGTGAAAGAATACAACCCTGGTGCACAATATTTCTGATTTTAAACCATTCAGTATTCCCTTGCTCTGTTCAAATGATTGCCTCTTGGTCTATATACAGGTTCCTCATGAGCACAGTTAAGTGCTCTGGAATACTGTTCTTCACAACGTCATCCATAGCTTGTCATGATCCACACAGTTTAAAGCTTTTGCGTAGTCAATAAAGCAAACTAAACGTTTTTCTGGTATTCTCTGCTTTCATTCAAGATCCATCCGATGTCAGCAATATCCCTAGTTACACGTCCTCTTCTGAATCATATTTGAGTTTCTGGCAGTTCCCTGTTGATGCACTGTTGTGGTCATTTAAAAAGTATAATCAGCAAAAAATTAAATAAACATGATATTAATGATATTGTTCGATGATTTCTGCATTTGGTTGGTTCTCCTCTCTTTGGATGGGCACAAATACAGAAGGTAGCTGTCTTCCAAATTTCTTGTCATACGTGAATGAATGTCTCCAGTACTGCATCAATTTATTGAAATTTTTCCATTTGTATTCTGTCAAGTTCTGGAGTCTTGTTTTTTGGCCAATGCCCTCAGTGTAGCTTGGATTTCTTCCTTCAGTACCATTGGTTCTTGATCATATTTTGCTTCTTGAGCATGGTTGAAAATAAACCATTTCTTTTGCGTACAACAACTCTGAATAAAACTTCCATTTTCTTTTGATACTTTCTGCATCATTCAATATTCTACCTATGTTGTTGTCATTGTTAAGTGTCATTGAATCTGTTCGACTCATAGCAATCCAATATAGGGTTTCCGAGGAGCAGCTGTGAGCTTGAACTGCTGATCTTGCAGATCAAACCAACTGTGCAGTCCAGTGCATTAACTCACAGCACCACACCAGGACTCCAGTTCACTTATTTGCTGTTGTGGTTGTTAAGTGCCTTCGAGTAGGTTCTGAGCCATAGTGACTCTGTATAGGGTTTCCGAGGAGAGGCTGGTGAGCATGGATTGCCCATCTTGTGGTTCAAACTGATCTTGCAGTTTAGTGGATTCACCCGCAGTACCACATCAGGGCTCCATTTCACCTACAGAATTCTTCAATATTGTCAAAGCTTGAATTTTTCTTCAGTTCCTTCTTCCTGAGAGATGCTGAGCCATGTTCTTCCCTTTTAGTTTTCTCACTTCAGGTCTTTGCACATTTCATTGTAATACTTGACTTTGTCTTCTCAAGCTGACCTTTGAGTCAGAATTGACTCCATGGCATGGGTTTTATTTGATTTTATATAAAAGTCTAGGATCCTCTCTCCTTGTAAGTCCTTCTTTCACATTCTTCTATCCTTATAGGTTCTTCTTGTACAGGGAAGAGCATTTCACTTGAAAAAGAGCTACTAGGTGATATGGTGGCCCAAACCTAAAGCAAACTTCTAATTGAATATCAAGCCCTGCTTCCCCTTCTAATCCAACTCAAAATCCCCATATGTTTCCACTTTTAAGGAGCTCTGGTAGCGTAGTGGTTATGAATTGGGTTGCTAACCTCAAAGTCGGCAGTTCAAAACTACCAGCTCTTCCCCGGGAGAAAGATGAGGTGTTTTGTTTCCATAAAGATTTGCAGCCTCAGAGACCCTGTGCAGGGTCACTATGAGTCAGAACTGACTCCACAGTACTTAACAACAACAGGGACCTTGAACACAGACTTCAAGATAATATGAAAGATAACTCAAAAAAAGTTTTTTTATTTATAGTGTACCACTGAGAGAGTAAAATGTCTTGAATTCAACTGAGAAGATCTTGAAACCTTATCTTTCTTCTAAAGGTGTTAGCACCTCCATGGATTAAGAGACAGAATTATCAGATATAAAATATGCCTTCTGCTAAGAGTTGACATGTTATATTTTAGAGAACCAATAGCAAATAAGTATGAAAAAAATATTTTAAAATAAGACATACCTGTTTCAATGTATTCCAAGGGCCAAACTGAAGAATTTCCAGTGTGTTCAAAGGGGGCATGGTATTGGCTGGACATTTCACAAACCTCTTTTTTTTAACAATTTTCTTTTGCTGATGTTTCTTGAAAATTTCAAGCCAGGGTTTAAATGATTTCTTCCAACTTAGTCTTTTTTCTTCAATAGCAGATAGAATGGTTGGTTCTGGTTTAAAGCAGGCCATGATGCCGTCATGTTCGGGTCTAGTCTCATGGCAACCTTCTGAAATGTCTTTAATCTCAGAATTAACAGAGTTTGTTTCAACAGAAACCAAGGAGCTTTCTGCATTATAGTCTCTTGAGTTTTCACAAAGAGTTTGACTACCTAAAACAGAATCTTGCTTGTTTATATTGTTTTCTATATTTATTATGGTATTACTTGTATTTATAATCACAGCGTCACTATTCAGAGCGTTGTCTTTTGAGTTCTTAATTTCGTTAGATTTTAAATCAATTACTTCTTGTAGCACCACATCTTTTCCTATATTTTCAGAAGTTTCTAATTCTAGTTGCCCTAGTTTTCGTTTAGCTGAAATCACTGAAGTTTTATTCTCTTCACATAATGTTCCATTCTGTTCTGGTATCCTTTCTTTTTCTACTTCTTGTACCTTTGTCTGTTGATTGTCTTTTATTATTTTCTGTGTTTCATTGTTTTTTGCCTGATAAAATATGTCATTATGTCCTAGTATTATTATTTCAGTTTCTTGTTCAATAGTCTCATCCATGGCATATTTTAATTTTCCCTCACTTTTTATTTGAGATTTTAATTCCTGTAACTTAAACTTTTCTTTCATATTTTCTATTAGATCTGGGCTTTCCGATTTAAGTTGTTTGTCTATATTTTCATATTTTCTTTTTATATTGATCAACTTTTCAGAATATTTCTGTTTTGCTAGATTTTCTTTTTTTTCTTCCTCATTTAATTCTGCCAAATTTTCTTGGTTTGATATATGTTCTTTTAATGTTTCTTGGACTAATTCTTTCAATGCTAGTGGTCTACTTTCATTTTCCCTCACATCTAATTTCTTATCTATTACTAGCCAAAGAGGGGTTTCTTCCTGGTTCTTTGATTTCTCATCCACTAACTTTTTGGCTATATCACTCTTTTTCTTTGATGTATCTTCGACACTTAAATGTTTGGAATCGTATTCTCCTTTTTCTAATGTCTTACTTGTTAGTTGCTTACTTGCATCTTCTCTGATTCTTACTTTTTCCTTGAATAACACTTGTTCTCTTTCTAGTCTCAGAATTTTCTTTTTTTCTTCATATTCTTTTTGTCTCTTTTTAAGTTCCTCTTGTTTTTGCTTTTTTTTCTCTTCTTCTATTCTTTGTTCTTCTTCCAGTCTTTTTTGTTTTTCTTCTTCCCAATGTCGGAGTTTTGCTTCCTTTTCTTTCCACTCTTGTGCTTTCTTTTTCTTATTTTCTACTTGTTCTTTTATAACTGGGTTATATTTTCGGTAAGCTACAAAAGCTTTATAATTAGCTTGGATTTTTATAGCTGAATTATGCTGTAGTTTTAACAAACGCATTTTTTCCTTTTCCTGTAAGTCTTTCAGTCTTATTCTTTCCTCTTCCATTTGTAATTGCAAGTTTTTAATGAGCTCCTAAAACAAAGTAATATAAATAACAATAAGGATACAATTAAAGGTGAAATGTATTACAGCATCATCTAAATAGCAACTGAAAGCAAATATCAACACTAAAGTTTCATAAAGAAGTTACAATGAAACTCACTTAGAACAATAAATTATTGAATTTTAATAGCATTATTTTAAAAATATTTGAGACTGAATTAATAGGTGATTTAATACTCTAATAGAACAATAAAGACATAGAGCATACATGTATATATGTGCATATACATACAAATATATAAGTTTTTGTTGTTGCTAAGTGCCACCGAGTCGGGTACAATTCATAGTGAACCTGTATAGGGTTTCCAAGGAGTGCCTGGTGAGTTTTGAACCACCAACCTTGCAGTTCAAAGTGACCTTGCAGTCCAATGCTTATCTTATTTCTTAAAAATATAAAGCCTATGAAGCCCAAATGACACTTAAAGGAGGTAAATTAAATCAACAGCCAAACTTCAAATAGGAGAAAATTATTTCAAAGCTTCTGCGACAGTATTCTTACAAAGGAGACTGACTACCAGAGCTGGAGCTAGGACAGAAGCAGCAGGCAATTATCCTGTGATAGTCAACTACAAGCAAGCCAAGGGAGTTCACACATAGAAACAATATGCAGAGCCAGAATAGCCATACATTTTATACCTCTTCAACTACCAAGAATCAAGATTCAAAGCTAATACTATATGGTGAATTAGATCATTTAAAGTTAAATGAGAAAATATCATTATTAGTAAAGTCATGAAACAAAACAGACCAACAGATTTAAAAAAATATTGGAGGGATTATGGAAAATTTTATATTCTTTATTCTTGCAATTACTTAAAATATTTTCAAATAAAATTGTGAATAAAAGCAAAAACTAAATAAATTATCACTGGAATCTTCTAAAATTCAAAGGAGCTATTTAACATAGTTTATTAAAGAAATGAAGCAATCTTTCATAATATAATCTTCAACCATAATGAATTGTTCAAAAATGTCTTTCTTCAAATCTTAAAAAGAAATTTAGAATTTTAATTTTATATGAGCATGCTTACTCACTGAGTTAATTTAGTTTTATTTACAGGATGTTATACTTCAAGGAAAGTTTCTGATGATTAGTGAGCTTTTAAAGCTTTGATAATTAAATCCTACATCTGCTAGACACTATTATATTAATGTGCATATTTAAAAGACAGCAATTTATTTGAAATGGCAATTATCACACTGATTAAAAACAATAAATAAGTACCTCATGCTGTTTACATTTCTCCTCCCACTTTTTTTCTTCTTTATGTAGCTCATCATTCATCTTGTCCTGCTCTTGCTGAACACAAAATATTTAAATACTGTTATATTCAAATATAAAATAATATTAAGTTCATCATATATGATTCTCACAATACATAGTTGTTTAGGAAATGTTCAAACAATGAAAATCTATCCAGTGATTCTTAGTTATTAGCATTGAGGCAACAACTGTATTGATTATTATTATTATTACTATTAACTTTTTGGTGAATTGAATGATGTTTATAGAGCAGATCATCAGTTTGACATTCAACAACTCATAAGCATTTTGTTTCATCTCACTGACTGCAGTCCTTCAATGTAACAGCTCTCATGCCACTTCCTCTCTGTATTTCCTGTTCCCATTCCTCCTTCTGTCCTAACTCTCTGAACTTTTTCCTTGGGTGAATGCTGTCCATCTGGGCTAAAATGGTTCATTATTCTGAGGTGTGTACATCTCACAAGTGTTACTACTGTTCCTTTTCAGACGTACTTGGTTGAAAATTGAGCCAGAGTGGGGTGTAAATTTCCAGACAAAGGACCAATGTTTCGGGGGTTCCACCAGTCTCTGAGCTGCCTCACTATCTTGAAAGATATCAATTTTTATTCCATGAATTCCTGGTGTCTTGTTCTTTGCCAATTCCTCCAATGCACCTTGGACTTCCTCCTTCACTATCATTGGCTCTTGATCATAGTTACCTCTTGAAACGGTTAAACATTAACCATTTCGTTTTGGTACAGTGACTCTGTGTTTTCCTTTCATCTTCTTTTGGTGCTTTCTACATCATTCAATAATTTGCCTAAAGAATCTTTCAATAACAAGAGTCAAGACTTGAGTTTTTTCTTCATTTGCCCCAGCTTGAGAAATGCTGAGCATGTTCTTCCCTTTTGGTTTTCAGACTCCAGATCTTTGCATATTTTGTTGTAATATTTGGCTTTAGATTCTCGAACTGATCTTTGAAATTTTCTGTTCAGCTTTTGGACCTCCTCATTTCTTCCATTTGCTTTAGCATATCTATGCTGGAGAGCAGCACAGAAGCTGCAATCAAGAAATCAAACGACATATTACATTAGGCATATCTGCTGCACAAGACCGTTTTTAAAGTGTTGAAGAACAAAGATGTCAGCTTGAGGACTAAGGTGTGCCTGACCCAAGCCATGGTATTTTCCAATAACCTCATATGCATATGAAAGTTGGACAGTAAATAAGGAAGACTGTAGAAGAATTGAAGCATTTGAGTTATAGTATTGGAGGAGAACGTTGAAAGTGCCATGGGCTTCCAAAAGTACAAACAGTTCTGTGTTGGAAGAAGTGCAGCCAGAGTGCTCCTTGAAGGCCAAGATGGCCAAACTTTGTCTCTTATACTTCGGACATATTGTCAGGAGGGACCAGTCACTGGAGAAGGATATCACGTTTGGTAGGGTGGAGGGTCAGAGAAAAAGAGGAAGACTCCCAATGAGATGGACTGGCCAGGTAGCAGCATCGATGGACTCAAGCATTGCAATAATAGTGAGGTTGGCCCAGGATCGGGCTGAGTTTTGTTCTGCTGTGCAAAAGGTCACTATGAGTCGGTACTGACTCTACGGCACCTAACAACAACAACACCAGTCTCTATCCAAGCACTAAGCATGGTCTCTTATGATTTTGAGTTTGTTCCACATTTTTCTACTGATTTATCCAGGCCCTTCCAATGTGATCCCTTTCATAGAAGTTGGTTATGGTAGCTAGGTACCATCTAGTTCTGGTATCTGGATTTTATGGACAGATATTCATGTGGTCCATTAGTATATTGGACTAATTATTTCCATGTGTCTTCTATTTTCATCACTCTTCTTTACTCCAGATGGGAAGAGGAGACCAATAGTTGCACCTTAGATGGCCATATTGTTGTTGTTGTTGTCAAGTGCCTTTGATATGGTTTGGGCCCATAGCAACCCTGTTTCTGAGAAGTGACTGGTGAGCCTGAACCATTGACTTTGCAGTTCAAAATGACTTTGCAGTCCAGTGCATTAACCCACAGTGCCACATGAATGTAGAACACTGTCTCTGTGGACTATGTTATGCTAATTGCCTTGGTGTCTCCACAAGACTATGGTCCTGAACTCCCAGGCCCAGCAACTCATTCCCTCCAGACGTTTGGCTATACCTAAGAAGTTTACATAACTTTGCCCCCTGTAGAGTTAACTACATTCATGGGTATATTCACAGTAAAGATAAATACTCTGTACAAATATCCTCTGTCAAACTTAGATATCACTGTGGGTATAGTCTTATTCTCCCTCCCACACACATTCAGCCCATTTGTATATCCATGCATATACTCGAAGATCACTGTTATTTATATATATGATAGTATTGTATATATAATAGTATTAACCTCTGTTGCCTTTAACTCTTACACTCCTCCCTGCTCTCCATCATTTTAGGAATAACAATTTAAATCTCAATCTAAAGTGTCATATAAATGATAGCATTCCTATTCTGAACACATAAAAATATTGTTTGAAATCTGAAAAAGTTATATAATTTACGTAAATTCATTACATAACAGAATTTGTTGAGTAGAAATATTGTTGGGCATAGCAAAATCTTCAAATAATCATTTACAAAATGAATTTATTTACAAGTTGTTTTCTCCACACATCATACCACTTAACTGCAAACAACACAATGGAAATAGGTACAGTTAGTAAAGGATCATGAAAGACTTCATGTCAGAGTCATTTCATAGGAAATAACTAGGATGTCAAGCAATGTAGGACACTTTGGACAATTGTTCATTTAAAGTTTCTGAACTAAAAACATGATTATATCTATTTTTGGAAAAAAAAATCACAGGTCTTAGTTTGGACAGAAATAAGGAGAAAGAGCCAGTAAAGGGATCAGGGAAGAAATACTGGAGCTCTTCAGGTGAGAATCAATGATGACCTTCCATATGCAGTGTACCAGCAGTGAGAGCAAATGCAAAGACACATAAATGTGAACTTGCCAGTTCACAATATAAAAGGAAGTAGGATAAACTCGTTTTTTGTGTGGGGGCAGTATATTTGATTCCTGTGTATTCAATGCTTCCATGCAGTGAGATCGACCTGTATAGTTGCCATTTATATTGTTAAAAAAAAGGTATTTATATGAAAGGGATCACATTAGAAGGCTGTGGATAAAGTGAGAGAAAATGTGAAACAAAACTCAAAATCATAAAAAAAGATCAGGTTTACTGGTCACATTTGATTTTGTTGTTGTTGCTGTTGTGAGGTGCCATCAAGTCAGAACC